CTCAAGTATCCTGGAGAGGATAAAGAGCTGGTCCAGTGTTCCGCGACCAAATAGCCAAACATTTTAAAAATATATGTCAGTAATTGTTGCTGCGCATCATTCTGGGAAGGGTCTTGAGGTAATTTTCAAACAAATGTGTGGAATCCATCTTCCCAGGAGTGGATAAATACTCCTGGAGGTCAGTCTGTGCAATGCACAGAGAAAGTATATAGACCTCGGTTAGTGTGTTAAATTTTACAGTTTATGACAATACAATTTGAAAAAGACTGAAGAAATATGGCTCGCTTGGAATGGTTTCAAGGAGAAAATGTCTTCCCGTTAAAAACCAAAGTTTCATCTGAACAAAACGCAAGACTTCTGGACCAATGTCTTTTGGCCTTAACGCACAGTACCACATTTGGTGTGAACCAAACACAGCATATCAGCACAAACTTGTGTAAGGGTGATGATTTGTGCTTAATTTACCAAAACTAAACAAGAACGTTCAGGAACCTCGATTTCCATGAAGTTCTTGTCTTGTTCTTTTAGTCAACCATGAACTCTAGAGCCCAATGCAGGCCAACTGCCTAACAACCCAATATTGCCTCACACTATGTCGTGCAACAGAATAAAGGCAGAGCAACAAATCTACTACAGAATGGCTGAAAAAGAAAAAAATCAATGTTATGATGGGACCATAAAAGAGAATAAACAAGGAACTGAAGCAACATTGTAAACAAGGTCGGGCCAACGTTCCTCCACACTGATATGAGACTGAGCTCCTGAATCACAGGGTGTACTTAATTTTTAATTTTGTTTCATATACATGTGCTGTCGTTTATCTCAGCTTGTATTTACCTCATTCTAAGAAGCAGATGAAACCCATTTCTGTCATACTGTTTGGGTGCCAGAGCAGAGGTAAAGAAAAGAAGACTACAGAGATAAAGACAATGTGCTTTCACAGCATTTTTAGTCATGCAGCTCTGATAGGAGGAGTATCTGTCTGCAGAAGATCTGAGCGCTCACTGTGATGTCCTCCACATTCACTGCCTGAGGTAACGTCAGACGAGATCCCAATTAATCTGTCTCATACGTTAAGACAAGGTGCTCTTGCGCTGTCTGTTCATTCCTCCTCCCCTCATTATGATGGATTGATTCTACTTGGAGCGGGCCATCACGTATCACCCATGATACGTGGGGACATGGCGTTGCATGATGGCATAAGGGGAGGGACACTGCAAGAGGCAGTAGACAAGGCACATAAACAGTCTATGTGAGGACTCATCATGAGGTCAGCCTTAGATAAGACAATACTGCAATAGTGGAACAGACCCCAGGATATGACATATTTTTATATTATTGCTTCAGTGCCTAATTCAACAAGACTTTACTCTTTCAAGAAAGTCAGACTCAGGGTGAGAGATGAGATTATAGTTAAAAGATCCCAAATCAATGTAGATCCACTGATAGAGCAGAGCCCAGCAAAAATAACAACTCTATCTATGATCACCTTCTAACTTCAGCTCTTCTCACCTCCAATTCTTCTCATCATTGTTGCTCTGTTTAAAAATAAAGATGAATATCACTTCACCCCCAACACCTGACCAGGTGAGGCACAGCTGCCAAAACATGCCAAGCTAAGATTTCCTCTTCGCATTGTATGTGCATTTCTGCCATGTACTTTACATTATGGGTGTATTTAGTATTGTCATTGATGGACCATAGAGATGCGAGCACTGAGTCAGAAATGTAGCAGGAGGGGAAAAAACAGAGAGGGAGGAAACAAAGATACAACGGTTATTTATGCTGCTTTTAAATGCATGCCATGGCCCTGAGAGCAAGAGCGGGCATGTTAAGGAAGAAGGTTAAAAGTGATCAGAAGAGCAGCTAAAGAGGAATTCCTGTGTGCACTTGCTGTTCCTATATGTGCTGTATGTGCTCCAAGATAAAAGCAGAAATAGGGTGTGATGTGGTTGAGCTGTATTATGAACAAGGCATCGTAAACATTAGAGGAGTTCTGTAGGAACCGTTCTGAAGGATCCCAGTTAACGAGTTCTTTAGGATCCCTAAAGAGTTTGTGGCATCAGCTGATGTAATTACTGGAAGCATTACAAGAATGAGTAGTTTGATGTACATTTAAGCCACTTCCAGTGGTTTTATTTCATCTTAGCTTCTAACTTTTCCAGGAAAGATATGCTTACGGTGTAAATGTAAAGATACGCTACTTAAAAACGCATGTAATCCTAGTCTATGTGTTCTGATAGTAACCGTGTTTCTTTTCATTTAAAAATATGTTAATAGGAGAAGAATGACGCCAAAGTTTGCATATGTATATATCGGTTCTCATATATCGGTTTGTATATGGCTCATTTATTGACGATACTTACATTTTTCTGAGTAACAGTTCAATTCAAATTGATTTTATTTATATAGCACCAATTCATCACAACTGTCGCCTCAAGGCTATAGGAAGAAAAATCTTTTTTCTTAACAGCTGTGTGTCAGTTTATATATTTTGTATTTATTTCCTGTTTCTGTCATTCTGTCTTGCCTCTGTTCTTTAGCATTTTGGTCCCATTTCTGCAGCTGCTGCTGGACTTCTTCTTTGACTATTATTGTGCAAGCCATAAAAAGATTCAACAACTCTTTATCCAGCTAGTTGCGATCAGGAACTGGGGCTGCTGCACTGAATGGGGGGATCCAGCAATGTCAATTGCTTAGCGAGTGCTAATCACTGCTGATTCTGTGTCTAGCCTACATTGAAATAAAAGTTTATATTTGAGTTGTTGTGTTTTGTTTTGTACTTAATGACTTTAAACTCACAATGCAATATGTAGCATGCTGTCTTGATTTAACATTTTAGTTTTAGGACCAAATATACCCGGCTACCTGCCATCACCAAGTACCAATATGATGTCAGTGTTCTCCCAAGAATTAAAATCTCCACACCATATAACATGGAATTTATTTGAAATCTCAGTCAGGAGGTTTTTATGTCAGGTAACAGGAGGCTAATGTTAAAACAGAGTCACTGACAAGCCATGAATGCAATAAATAGCAGACACCCCACTCACTTAATGTGAATAACCTGGCTCACACCTGATCGGCTTCAATAGGGCCCCAGCAAGAGTTACATAGCATCACTTTTCTGTTATTGATTAGAGTGGGGTACAGACAGGAGCTTTTATATTGTCTATATGACAAATGTCAGTGAGTCACATGTCCTAGTGACAAAGGGGGGGGGGGCATCTAATAAAATGCTTTCATATAAAAAAAAAAATGCTGACTTTTAGTTATGCATAAGTGTTCTGTTGCTTACCTTGAGCTGCGTAATCTTCTCCAGAGAGTGCTGCTGAGCATACTGACAGGAGCAGGAGAAAGTTCCACCTAGACGGACAAAACAAAGATCAGTTTCATGACTAGTTGTTGGGTTTGTCTCTCTGACACTTTTTAAACATACAGTCTGATGCTAACAGCGGAGCATGGCCATTTGTAATTAGCATGGCTGTGAATGCTTATAGTTAAGGTGATCAGGCGACCCTGAACTCTCCCTTAGATATGCTGCGATAGGCCGAGGCTACTTGGGACTTACCATCATACAGAGTGTTTCTTCTTAATTCACCTCTCTGTGTTTATACAGCACTTTGCATTTAATCGCTAGTTATTATTAATCTCTGACTCTCTTCCACAGTGCGTCTTCTGCCTTGTCTTCATCCATTCACCCCCACTGCAGATCGACACCTCTCCCTGAGCCTGGTTCTATCATAGGGTTCTTCCTGCTAAAAGGGAGTTTTTCCTTCCCGCTGTCACCAAGTGTTTGCTCATAGCGGGTCACCTAACTTCTGGGGTTTTCTCTGTATTATTACCTTACAAAATGAAGCACCTTAAAGTGAGTGTTGTTGTTGTTGTTGTATGGTACTATATAACTAAAACCGAATTAAACTGAATACTATTATGTTGCAATAGTCTTTAAATTTATAATAAAAGTACACAAAGCAGGACTTTACTGAAGCAATATAGTCAATGCTCAGCTTCCAAAACACCCCAGTATGTGAGCTGCCACAGTTTAAGAAACACTTTACATAATCTGATACTGCTTGGTGAGAAAGAAGAGAAGAAGGAGAGAGCAACGAGACAGCAAAAGTGCTACTGGAGAGGTAACAGACAGCCAGATAAGGAGAATTAAATGAGTCCTTGTCAAGTAATTAGCTGATAAAGGTCTGCTTTTACATGAATCCTTTCGTTTACACTAAACAATCAAGAGATTCATCAGATAAATGATTCATTCACAAGAAAACATATTCATCCTCTCCTGTGGTAGATGATACTGAGTAGATATCACTAGTCGAAACAAGTAAAAACGAAAGCTGGAGCCCCTTAAAAGACAATGTGACTGCTCCGTTTCAAAAGCCGTTCCACTTTGACATTTTTATGCCTGAAGACGTAGTGAAAAGCGATGAAAAGAATATTTGAGCATCGTGTTTTATCGTTTCCAGACAATGATGGATTTGATCTCCAAGGCACATGGTTAATAACAATTTGATGCTTTTTATGGCAAAGCAAGGACCATAAAGAGGCAAATGCCCCAGCCAACATTCACACAGGAGTTGCTCCTCCCTTTTCATCTTTTTCAAGTTGGATCTCCTCTACCAAAAACCTTAAATATCCTGAAAAGCTACCAATACTAAAATATGTTCCATTCTATAACAGGCTTATGAAACAGTAAGTTATATATTAATCATACTGCATGTTGTCACTTTGCTGCACAAGAGTCACATAACTCCGCTCTTGACCCTCACTGACCCCCACCTCTAGATGGCACTCCCCACCAGACAGCTACAGAGGAAGGACAGCAGACAACACAGAACAGCCGGTCCTCAGCATCACTGTAAAACCTTCCTACCCAAAATTGTGCAAAAATGTCGTGCAAATTAGGTAAATTTGTTCACGTTAACTTTAGCTTGTCCAGTAATAATGTCCACTAAAATGCAGATAGGGTGCATATACATTGATGTGTCTAGAAATGTCCAGAACTACAGATCAGGCAGTCGAACATGTGTTATAAAGTCTTACAATCTAAGGTAAGGTAACATTTGCTAACACTGTCACCAGTAAAGCTGGGGGAAAAAAGTATAAAAAGTATAAGAAGAAGCGGCTTAAAAAGAAGACAGAAAAGAAGAAGCAGTAACTCCAGTTTTAGTGAAGGTTTGATTTAAAGGCAACGCAAACAAAATACTTCACAGGACATTATCATCAAGGTTTTCTGGAATACGCTCCTTCAGTCATCGATAAAAACAAGAATCCAACTTAAATAAAGCTCCAGCACAATATCACTGTTTGCTTATTTATCCCCTCATGAAGTCATATTCATTCAACATTTTTCACCTGGTCGTCCCGCCTGCATTGGCCCTGCTCCTCGCAGTTTCAGAACCACTGATCTACAGTAAAGCTGGACATTCAAACCAAATCACATCAGCAGCCCTGAAAACAGTAACAGCTGCTTATACAACTTGTTCTGGCAACTGGTGTCATATTTTTCTCTGACACTGACACAGTGTGGTGGCTGTACAAAGTACAAGAGACAGTAGTCCTGCTATTTTAATATGCAGGGCGCCATCAGTCAAAGGTTGCTGTCACACCTTAATCCTGCAGGGACTGACGGCCTCAAGCAGCATGACAGGCGCCTTACAAACAAGTCTTTTTGGTGGCCTGTGAGCATGAGATTAACCCAGTGTGAGTCACTTTCTGACAGAGAGCCCCCACCCCCCACCCCAACTCCCAGACGGGAAGCCATATTTGCCCTGCAGAACTGAGTAATAAAATATAATCGAAAGCAGAAAAGAGGGGGAAGATTAAAAAGACAACAAGGGAAGAACAGAAAAGGAAAGGGCTGCCTTTAAGTAGAGACACCGTGAATGAGTGTGTCACCTGTTCCCCATTGAGAATGTGGTGCGACATTCCACAGCTGGTAACGCAGACGTATTCCCAAAGTCGGAAAAAGTTACAAAAAAACAAGTTGGGGGGGGAGACATATGAATACAGTCATTCATCTACTGTGAGAGGATTACAGTGACATTTATAAGGGCAACGAGTAGCTGGTTCTGTTTAGACATTGGCAGCTTTTAAAAGTAGACCAAAGATAGAGGGGAAAAAACCAAATAAATCACTTAACGTTCCTTTTTAGAGTGTGTGGATCCATGTGACGCTGATTCAGACATTTTTTTTGTCCTGCTGTCTGTCCCACAGTCTCTTGTTCGTGGCTATTTAAAGCATCTCTGAGGCTCTGTCACTGAGCACGTTCAGGCTATCGCTTCATCACATTTTTAGAAACAACTGGTGACCATTTCCCCACTTGCTGAACCTTGGTTTGGTGCTTTAACCTTTATTGTGACATGCAAACAGAATGGAAGGGATGTATCCGACTAATAAGAAAAACAGACTACATCCAATCTTTCATCAGAGGTGAATTCCCTTATATGTGACAGTACCGCTATGGCACGTTTCCCCGTCCTAGCAGTTAATGGAAAAGACCCCTGAAAGCAAGACAAAGCTCCCCAAACAGTGCTCTGTTGACGAAGGGAAATACCACTATGTGGGGAGTGGGTGTCATGTCAAGACTATAAATAATCACAACTTAAAGCTCCACTCTGCAATGAATCATTCCAGCAGTACCAGATCTTTCCTTTCTCCCCTTCAAAATTAGCTTGGATCCCTAACAATGGTTCATTCAACTGGGGAGAAGGCTGAGAGTCAAATGGAGAGGCAAAAAGCTCAATTACGCTTGGCAAATAGAAGCAAACCTATTACACTTCTGTTTATAGTCTCATAAGGAACTGGAATCTTTTTTTTTTTCCCTTTTTTTTAAACATTCATCATTAATGTCAGTCAGGAGGTGAGCAGCGGCTTTCACGGTTCATTGTTTACACGTCTAATTTACCAAATCAGTAAGTAACAGCGAAGCATGCAAAGCTGTTAATCTACACACACAGCTCTGAAATGAAACTTCTAGAGGATCTCCAAGAAACTGGAAGCACTAAAACTGCTGTTGAGGTGCGTTGGTGTGAAAAATCCAAAAGCTGCTGTGTTTGACTTCGCTTTGGGCAAAAAAGGTGCTCTGAATAGGACAATCTAAACAAACCTGATGAGACTAACCCTGACTCACCCGTCCCACTTTTCATAACCCCTGAAGTTTGCTGAAGCTCTTTTGGCACTCCTTGGAGGAGTCATTATTCAGAAGATTGAGGTTTATAGAGCATGACCTTGGAGCGTTTACCTAACCTCTACTGTTGTGTGACTTAGCTGAGCCCAGTCTAAAAATGCCATGGATGTCATAGCAGATATAACACATAAAATGACGCAGTGCCCCGAGGATCTGTTAAGACCCAGCATCACCCAGCATGTTACAGTATAAACCAGTTGAAATGTTTCCAAATGAGTGCATCACTTTCTTGCAAATCAGGTGTTCTGTTCCTGCATGTTTTGCTTTTCAATCTCAACAAAAAACATTCCTGGACACCATGAAGTCACTGATCTACTGCCAAAGAGTGTTCCCGCTGGCTGGGTTACAGCTTCAGTACCTGTACCCTTATCATATTAACTTCACTCTGGTATAACTAAGCAGGCTTGTTGTCCTCTCTCCAAATAGCCATCAGCAAAAATGATTAACAAATCAGCAGGTTTCCAGGATTGAACTGTCTAATAGTGGAGCGTTTGCAAAGGCTAGAAATGATAATGATTTCCTAACTGTTCCAAGCCACCAATGATTCCAAGCCATCATGAATCTAAGTGGACTCTTCTATAAGGAGCGTGCCATGTCTCTCCTCTAATGAGCATGGCTAACATTTGTCAGCTCACTCCAATGGTACTCGGAGTCAAGAGGTCACAGCAGACCAGTGTAAAGATTGACTGAGTTCACAAAACAGTGAGCAGACAAAGGCCCGTGAGTAAACTTCCACTGGCTTTTATTTATTTGCCCTTTCCCTGTTGCAGAGAAACCTTCAGATGTTAGGAGGGTTAAATACACTCACTCACACCGACAGGCCAAAATCCCTGCAGCCGGTGATTTGGGGAAGGTGAGTACACTCCAGGACGAAGGTGGAGAGGCTGTGATTGTAGCACAGAATAATTCAAAAAGGGTAACCTGAGCTGTGGGACGTGGAAGTCTTATTAAAGGCATTTATAGTGAGCTCTGCCGATTACCCAGATGAGCCAGGACATTGTTTTTGTAAAGGCTTTCCTGTCAATCTGTCCATTTTCCTAACTTCTTGTGCTTGGTTTGGGACTGGAGCACATCTAAGCTGACACTGGATGAGCGGCAGCATACACCCTGCACAGGTTGCCTGTCTATCACAGGCTGTTAAATTGTTGTGTCTATAAGGGTTCATAAATTATCTCAGATTTGAGCACCACAAATTAGAGTCTGCTTAGCTCCATTGCAGATAAACATAAGTAGCTGCTAAATACCATTAGATGTTGGGAACTTTGGTATTGTTGTTATCCAGTTATATTGAAAGCAAAGTTTGACATGACTTATCCTATCATGCAGTCCACTACAACTTATACAGGAAGGCTTTTCTGTAGAAGCATTGCCCTATAATGCTTCTACAGAATGTAACATGTACTAGGGTAGCCTCATAGGGAGCTACACAGTTTGTACTTTATGTAGTGACAGTAAAACTTAGTATCCCTCATGCACTCAGAGGCACAGTAGACATGTGGTACACTGAAAAACATAATAACTGGGTAAAACTACAGAACAATTAACGTTTTCAAATGAAAGCACTTCACTTCCTGTATGAATTCTTGCTGATGTTTTTCTGTATTTCTTAACAATGGACTGAAATTTGTACCATTTGCAAAAATGTTCATAAACTTCTGTAAAAAGACAAATAATGTGCTGGCAGAAAAACCCTTTATATTCTCTGCTTTTTTGTCCTTCTGCCTCGTTGACCTGACAATAGCAAACTTCTGCTCACATTATCAACCACCTGGAGGTACCAACCTGCTGAGGAGTCAGCATGCACTCTCAGCCAGAGTGTATGTGAGTGGTTGTGTTTCTGCAGTGTTATAGTTCTAGCACTGGCAGCAATAGAACAGCAATGCCTGCAACAGTGGGTGATTGTCTGGAGCTCAGGAGCCAGTTAACCACTGATGCATACACACTAACTCTTGTCTGTGAATTCAAGGGAGGCCACATTTATCCCCAGTCACCTCAGTTTTCCCCATAAGGCTCTCATATTCACTACCAAGGACAAAAAAAAGGATCTCTTATAGGGTTTCAACTCTACTTTGCTTTACATCAAGCAACCGCTATCAGCAGAGAATAACAGAATGTCTTGTGATCTCAGATTTTGTTTTTAGATCATATCTGGAAGAGATTCATAATAGAGTACAGGCAACTTGGACTCACTTCTGATAGAAGATAATGCTTTTCCTGTGAAGTACTCTTTCTTTCAAGAAGTGCACATTTCTGATGTTCCACAGACCCCAGCTGAATGTAGCAGGACAACAAGACCTGCATGCTAGATGTCAATAATGCACACTCCCATGAGGAATGTTTAGGGTTTAAGGGTGTTCATCTAAAGCCTTAACACGTTTACAGAGATGGACACATTTGCTCCTCTTGGGTCCTTCACATTTGCTTCTGTGCTTCTTCTAATTTATCACTTGCAGAATAAGCATTATTACTTACAAGACAGCCTCATTCATCCCCTTTCTCCATGGTTTACTGTTTATTCTTCAGCTTACTGGAGCTGTGTGAGTGGGTGCCAAATAAAAAGATGATATTGTAGCAGATCCTAGACTGCATGTTCACATGGTGGGATCAAAGCCAACTTCCAAAGCTAAAATGCATGGGTGTGTGGAAAAGTACAGGTATCAGATGGGGATGGTAAAGCTTAACAGCAGCAGTCCGTGCACAGCTAGAGTGAAGCTAATATGCAGAACAAACAGGTCAAACGGATCGAGCTGAAGACATCCTAAAAAGAGAAAAACTACAGCAGAGCTCAGTCGTCTCGTGCTTAAACTTTCTAAAATTCTGAATAGTTTGTGCCACGTTTTGGTGCCACAATCGTGCAGCTCAGCTGCTGAAACTTGTTTGGTCAACTGGCGCCCTGTCAGGGAAACACGCCAAAGAACCTGAACAGAAATAAGTCTCCCAGTTGCCATATCAAGCGAAAACCTGTTCCGGAAACAGCTTCAGCGCATAGATAGTCTGACATCTGCAGAGTACTTAACCAAATGACCACTTACGTTGCTGCCGCGGAAACGTGTCCACTCCTTGTCCGTTGAGCTCCTAAATGCATTTGTATGCATTTGTCCAGGCAGCAGAGATCTGGGTGAAAACAGAATCACACTCAAGGGGATACCTGCACATGGGCTAACCTTTGGTAAGAGCCAAAGGAAGCATAAAGCGGACGGAGATAACTGCCACCTCAGAGTTTCCTCATCGTAGCTGCTGCAGTCCTGAGGAGAGGTCTCTCCAAACTCTTTCAAAACCAAAGCCTCAGTTCCTTTGCGCTCTGCGGCGCGCAGTGATCAAGCTACTTCTATCCAAAGTGGAGACGCGCAACAGTTGCATAGGGGGGAGAGAAGGACTTGCAGTGCAGCGAGTCGGTATGCACCAGTGTAAACTTGACTGCTCTCAGAATTAGCACTCGACTTCTTCTTGGTCTCCAACACAGCAGATTCAGTTCCATGCGTCTTTGCCTCCAGGCGGTGGCTTCTGCTATGTGCCTTGACTTGCACTGATGCGAGGGGAACCCGTACTCAGCCCATCACAACCCCATCCTACCAGCTGGTGGTGTTGGATTTCACCGGTTACTGACTCGTGACATCACGGACGGAGTTTTGGCTTGAGCCCTTCAGTCACTCTTTGAGTGGAGTTTGAGTGCTGCACTACCCTGCACGTTTTCAATATGTTTAGTTATAAAACGTTATAAAATGCACGTAAAAATTGTAAATCATAGACATACGCAAACCAACACAAAAAATAATGACGTAAAACAGAAAACATCAGATGGCATCAGTTCAAAATGTTATGCAATTACTTTACTTGACATATATGACAAGCTGAGTTTTAAAAAGAGCTTAATTTTGAAGCGGCTCTAATAGTATCACTAACTTTACATGGCAGAATAAGTGAGCTTGAGTTAGTTGTAAGTGCACTTGATGCACATTCATAAGGAAATCGTCAGAGAAAATGGGATTATTATGGTCGCCCGTTTCTGAACATACATCACACATCCAATAATCAAAGTAGAAAGCCAGTATCAATGAAATAATGATCACAATACTACTAAAACAAATAGCATGCAGTATCTTAAATCCACTAGTTCAATTTAAGTAATTAACCTTTATCTTTTATACATTGACCATTAAACTGAAATTGGGCATTGGCTGGAAAAGTGAAAATATGCTGTAGCGTGCTCACAGTGTGCTGTATATATAAAGACTTGACTACCTCGTGACTGTAGCACAGGATTAAACAAATGATGAAAAAAAGAATTTTGATGTAGTGAATAATGCACTCTCATAAAACAAAACAAAACGCTATGATTCAGCGAGAGAGTTAGACTGTTAGATGTGAATGTGGTTTATGAGCTTAGGTAGCATGCCATATAGTCTGAGGGCTTTTGATTTTGCGTCTGCTCCTTCTCCCGAGATTTACACAAGCACAGATTTATTAGGTGTATAAACTCCAGCAGTGTTTATAATGACACATTTGTTCCGGCACCAAAAATGCTCCTTTGTTTTGCGGTTTCCCTGTCCTAACGCTGCACAGAGTTCTCCTTGAAAATGACACCGTTTCCTCATCTCAACCGTCGATTTTTCCAAACAAACGAGCTCCAACTCACTTCCACCATTTCCCACTCAGACTAACCCAATAACCTTGGACAAGAAGAGCTCTGTCACGACCCCCTCCCCGCCACATGCCATGGCATCCTCCTCTAGATGTCTGCATCCTCAGATCAGCCTGGACCGGGATTGAGTCCATATGGTTTGCAGTTTAGGGGCCTGGGAGACACGGAGCTTTTCCTGCCTCTAATTCCAGGTGGAGAACACAGGGTTTTTTAACCTGAAGACAGTTAAACAGCAGTGACAGTGAGCAGTTAGAATGCCCAAACACGGAGCAAGGTAAGAGAGGTCAAAGTGGCATGAAAACTCCAAGAGAGCCCACCAACCAGTGCAAACGACGACTTTCATAAGGATTTTGTGATTCCTGTAAACAAGGTGTCTGAGGCCCTTTGTGCTGCGGATGTGTGCCTGCAGCAGTGAGTCTACTCGCTGTCCCCCTTCTTCATCAAAGACAGTGTGAGGAGGAGGAAGCCCACACGGGATGGAGTCTCTCTCTGGCATTGCTATTACTCAGCATCTTCGGGTAGTGATGCTCTATCCAGATGTTTCACTTCCTCTCAACTTCCAGAGAAAGGTTCAGAGGTGCTGCTTTTCCAAGAAGGTTATGAATCAACGTGTTGAAGAAATAAACTTCATGATAATGTTGTAGCACAGGGCTGCTTGAGCTTGTTGACTGGCAGGAAAAGGTTCAAACTCTGTCACGGGTTGTTAATAAAACCTTGATAAAATCACAGATTTAGAGCCCGCCTTGCTGTGAGTGTCAGCGGTCCTTTAAAATCTTTTATTATAATACCAGAATTATTTACCATAAAATATCTTCACTTGCATGCAGAGCGCTTTGCAGCACACTTTTTAAGATGAATTGCATATTTTTTTCCCCTTTACATGTGCAGATGTGCAGTAATCAATCCGCTGTGTGCTGAGCACCAAAGTGTTAGGCCCGAATGAGTGAGTCAGATTCACACTCGCTTGTCTTTCTCCTGAGGAACGGGCAGATGTAGACGAGCGTACATGAAGAACCCCTGCCCCCACCCTCAAAACAAGTGTTCCCCTCCTACAGTTTAATAACTTATCCAATAAAATGACCAGTTAGTGTTTAGACCAGTGCTCTCAAACACTTTTCACTTTCTTGGAAGCGCACAAAAGGCCAGGCTGGATCGTCATCACAGCAGTGTGTGGTTACAGACAACGATCAAGTATTAATGCACAGATTGCACGTGTCAATTCAAATGAACTTATTAAAAAAATCACAGCTTTTCATGTTTTATTTTAAAAAATACATTTTGCATATGCTGGCAGCATGGTATTTGGAGTCTTTTGGACGCAGCACTGTTGCTGGCACCGCTCCCAGAAGCTGCATGGACTATCCCTACCTGCGTGCTCATGTCTTGTCAATGATTTCATTTCCAGAACTTCCCCTTGGAAGGCCAGGATCCAAATCACATATTCTGCTGCTCTGAGAGCGTATTGTCTTTAAGGTTTGAACATTTTATAGTAACACACCAGCTTGGAAACGTGAGGAGCGTGAAAAACCTTCGGCCTCACGAATGATTCTAAGCCCAGAGTCAACCATGGGTGGTTAAAGAGGAAAAATACGACGGCAAAATCTCTGTGGTTTGGTAGAGCGTAGAGCAAAAACGTAAGCAGCCATTAGGCTCAATAAAGATGTGCTTTTGAGAGGCCACTGTAAGCACATTCTTCTCAACATAATGATCCAGACACGGTTGGTTAAGTGTGCCTCATTAGGTAAAGGGCTCATCAGTTTGCCATGAATTTAACTGGGAGGAGGGCGACCAGTCTGACAGCAGACTCTACCTGCAGACTGACAAGATGCTAAACTGGCTTCTGTCTCTAATTAGCAGACACGGCCCTGTGTAATTTCTGTCCTGTGTGCGTGTCATCGGCTCGTAGAGCTGTTATTTTGCCGAGCAAGGAGAGTGTGGGCAACAGCTGGGGGAGTGCGTAACAGATGGTGAAATACAGAGCAGTTGATAGTGGAAACAATGTTCCATGTACGAGTGTGCATGTGTGTGTGTGTGTGAGAGAGAGAGATTGTATTCAGTGAGGTGGTTTGTAGTGCTTAAGAGATCACGGGAAAGCAGTGAGAAAGGGGCCAGGGGAGTCCAGGGTGAAGGGGGTGTTTGGGCAGGGAGGAAGTGTAAGAGTGTGCAGGGGCTAAAGAAGGAACACACACACACGCATATATACACACATACTGTGCAGGGAGGTGCAGCGTCATGTGCAGCTTTTAATTTAGTGGTAAGCTCATGTAGGGACTATAGGCAGATTTTAAGGTGCAAACTCTTGAAACAATGCCTGGCGACTTGATGGTTCGTCTGAACTCTATGTGAAGGGATCATTTTTAATTTACAAAACACTCACGAGGCCTTTAATCATTTATGGAGGGTGCACATACTTTATTCATGTCTTCAATGTAAAGAAAGCGCCAGAAAGTGGTCGTTTCTCATTTCTGATTGTGTGCCAGCATCATGGGTTTGCCTGTGTGCAATTAGTTTTGCAGACGCTGAGCAGAAGTCAACCAAGCCCACAAAAAACAAGCGTGTTTGTCAGCTTTTAAAAACCCCAGGCATTTACATGCAACCATAATCATATATCGCAACGTCATAAATTACTCGAGTTTCAGACAGATGTGAAATAATTTATGGTTTTCCTAACATTGTCAATTAACAGCTCTTAGGAAACCACTGCACTGTCTATGCTTGAATTATGCTTTTATTGCTAAGGAAAAAAAAATGTCTGAGAACAGGAAGGAAGAAACATGTAAGCTAAATACCTGATGCACTTTAGCGTTTAGCCGCTTTCCTCTGCGGCTTTCAAATCACCTGCTGACCAGTGTCAGCCAAAGGAAGTAGGATGGTTTCCCCATCATTCTTGCTGAAGAGAAGAAAGGAGAAATGCATATGCTCCAAATTAAATGAATGTGATGTCTAGAGAAAATCTAAAGGGCCCACTGGATGGGTCCTTAAGCTTGGATTTACACTACGTTACAGCTCGTGTCTTCTTGGACGTCTTGAAGGGCTTTCCCAACTGGATCTTGGCAGTTTATTCCATTTATTGTTTGTGGCAGATCTTCTCAATCTTTTTCAGATTGGATGCGAAGTGTCTTTGTGCTTCCATCTGATGATCTGCGGGGTTTAAATCTGGGTTTTCCCTGCTCCATTTAAGGATGATCAGACCAAAAGAGACCTACAAACTATCTTAGATTTGATAGGTAAACCTCGAAGCCCAGGTTTTCAAGATGCTGTCTGTGTTTGGTTCCATTCTTTCCCCATTTGATTCTGACTGGGCTCCCTCTAACTGCTGTGAAGAACCACACCTTTGCATCCTACCATCTCCATGTATTACTGGAGGGGCGGCCTTAGCCAGTCAATGAGCAGTACATGTACTTGTACGGTGTGTTTTCAGTGAGTGGTCTGCCACATGTGTAGACACCATTTCATATCCACACAAACACAGAGCAGTGCAAAACAAAGACAGATATGTTGAAGACAATGTTACTCCAGTTGAAGACCAATCTCAACAAATATAGTATACTGTGTGTACTTAAATGTCTTAGACAACCTGATCTGACTCTGCCCAGCACAGTTTCTCTCCCCTTTGACGACTATTGTTGTGATTTGGCGCTACATAAGTAAAATTGAATTTTTAAAATTGAATTTCATCACCTTTATTGCTCAGTTTCCAGAGCTCTGTGTGCTCTCAGTTTGGGAAGAGGAGAGGAGCCGCCTGAGACAAAGTCTGATTTAGAGGGGGGGCAAGAAAAAAAAGACACCTTGACCTCACTTTCATCTCTGGAGCTGATCCTCTCTCTGGCGTGAATTCTCCAAGGAGCTGGCTGTGGAACAGAGAGTGGCTTTATACTTGCTTACTGCAAAGTTCCTCATGTAAAATCCCATTTAAATTCTCAAGAGGGCTGAAAGGACGGCTTTGAGAGGCATGTTCACGCTTATCTCCAGTGATACTATTAGGCTGCCAGTAATTTAGTCCTGATCATA